CTGATGCGCATGCTGAGCAAACAGCGCGCGCAGGAGGCGCAGGCGGCGAGACTGCCGCCCAGCGCTGCGATTGACACCACCCACGAGGCCTTCCTCGCGTCTGCACGCGCATTCGCTGGCCGGCTGGTACCGCTCCTGTCGGAGCCGCTCTTGCTGCGCGCGCTGCGAGACAAGAAAGGTGATGGCGCAGAGCCGAGAGCAGGAGAGGCGAAAGAGAAATGTGCCCGGGATACGCCGCGTAGAAATGCTACTATCCCGCTGAGAAGTGCCGCCGCTGGCGCCGCTGTGCGACTGCACTGTGGCGTGGTCCTTGCCGCGCGGCCCGGCACCTCCGACCACGGCCAAGCGCCGGCCGCAGGTGCGCACGGCGGCGCCTCGGACGCGCCCAAGCAAGTCCTCCAGCTACTCGAGATGATCTCGCAGCGGGACGGCTTCAGGCAAGGGGTGCTGGAAGCCAACGCCATGGCTGCACTGGTGCGCATCCTGCGGCTGTGCCGGGAACGGCTCGAGCGGCTCCGGCCGCCGCCTGAGCGGAGGATTGAGCGCGGCAGCGGCAGCAGCAGCGGCACCTCTGATGTCTGCCGCGAAGCTCGCGGGCGGCTGCAGCTGTGCCTGCGAATGGCGGTGCAGAGTATGGCCTTCCTGACGCAGATCAGCCCAGAGAGCTGCTCCTGGCCCCCCTGCGAGGGGCAGAGCTGCGAGCTCGTCGCGATCCTGCGCGACGTATGGCTCGATTCAGCCGTGCGCCGGCTCGCGGCTTGCTCGCTCAAGCACCTGGCGGCGCTGAACGACACGGTGCGCCTAGCGATGGCGCCGCACATTCAAGACCTCGTCGAGGCGTGCCTTGAGGCGCACAGGGCCGAGGGTGTGAGGGAGCAGGCGGCGCTCGCACTCGGGAACCTCGCGATTTGTGACCAGCTCGAGGCGCGCGCACCAGCCTCCCCCCCCCCCCCCTTCCCCTGTCCGCGGTGTGGCAGAGTATCGGCTACCGCGTCCCCACACCAGGATGCCGTCCTGGACTCCTCGGCGCTGTGCGCCCTCACGTCCATGCTTGCCGAGGGGGGGCCGACAGCCGACGCTGCGCTCGCGGCGGTCGCAAATTTGGTGTCCAACCGCCGGGCGAGAGCCCGCTTCGTCGAGCTGGGGGGCATCGCGCTGCTGCAGGCGCCGCTGCGGTCGGAGCACGAGGGCATTTACAAAAACGCGGGCTGGGTCATTGCCTCCCTCGCGGTCGACACCGACATTTCGGGGGACTTCACCCTGGACGGCGGCATCCCGCTGCTGCTGCAATACGCGCGCTCGGCCGACCTGGGGCACCAAGAGGAGGCGGCGTGGGGCCTCGCAAACCTCTCATCGCAGAGTGAGCTCACTGCCACGCTGATGCGCGCCAACGTGGTCCCATTGCTGGTGACCTTTGCGCGCTCCGAGTCGGACGGCGTGCGGATGCAAGCGCTCTGGACCCTCGCCAACCTCGCCGTACACCCCGAATTCCGACAGGAGATCGCACGGGAGCGCACGATACCGGCGCTGCTGGACAGCTTCAGAGATCCTGCGCCCGGCACGCATCACTCGCTCACGCAGGCCGCTCGTGCGCTCTCCAATCTTGTGGTCACCTCAGAAAACCGGGCGGAGACGATGGCGCACGGCGGCGGCGAGGCGATCCTCCGGTGTGCCCTCTCCGAATCCAACGAAGTGCAGCAGGCGGTGGCTCGGGTGATAGTCAACCTGTCGTACGAGGTCGGTGTCGCGATGCAGCTGGTCAGCGCGGGCGCGCTGCCTGTCGTCGCTAGCCTCCTCGGCTCAGACTGCGACAGCGTCCAGCAGGAGGCCACGTGGATGGCCGTGAACTTCTCTCTCTGCATCGACGGCCAGGCGCCACCCCCCCGGGGCAGCCCCGCGTTTGGCGCCGAGATGGTCCTTCCGCTGCTCCACCTGCTGCGCTCGGCCCGGCGCGAGGTTCTCGAGCAGGCCGCTTGGGCCCTCTTCAACCTGGCGCGCTCGAGGCCCAACAAGATGGCAATGCTCAGCCATGGCGCGCTGAGCCTGCTGGCCGGTCTGCCGTCGCAAGTCGACATGCGGGCTGGGGGTAGCTCAAGTGGGGTGCGGGCGGCTTCGGGGACCTTGCTCACGTCGCTCGCCGAGGCACTGACCCCCACGTCGAGGAGAGCGATCGTCGGCCCCGGCAGCGAGCGGTCGCAGCCCCCGAGCGGGCTGCACCGGGGGGAGGCGCCTCAAAAGGTGGCGATGCTCTCGGCACCGGCCGGGCCGGGCCTGCTTGAGCCCCAATTCGCGAGGTTTGCCGTCAGCGGCGCAGAGGAAGCCTCGTAGTCGAGGGAGATGATGACGATGGCGCCGCGTTGCGGCCTGCCGTCGCGCGAGTACTGAGCGCACCGCCTGCGCCCGCCGTGCGGGTGCTGCTGGACAGCACCGCTAGGCTGGAGCGCGGGGTGCTGCTCCCGCGCGGTAATGAGGTAGGGCCGGTGCGCCATGAATGCTCCCAGTCCGGTCGTGTTTGCTAAGGCGGTACCCGACACTGTACCCGCCTCGTACCTCGGTTCGCTGGGCCATGTGTTGTAGCCTGTTGCCGGGGCAGTTGTGCCCGCCGCGCGTGCTTTCCAGCGGCGCGCTCCGCGCGTGCTCTGCGGCAGTACTACTGCATCTTCCGGCAGGTATCAGCAATGTGAGTTCACATAGCGGGTGGGGAGGCCCTAAAACGGCGGGAGGGGTAGGGCTATATCGATAGAGCTAGAGGGCTCAACCACCCCTCCACCCCTCCACCCTCCACCCCTCCACCCTCCCGGAGCGAGAGAGGTCCGTCTTCGAGCCCGCTCCCACTTCCACCCCTCCGACCGGAGGGCTCGCCAGCCCACAGGGCTGGAGGGGTCCCCGTCGGATCGGCGTCGGGAGGGCTCCACAGGGCTAACCCCCTCCCCGGACGCCGGGTGGGCTCGGAGGGACGGTCGGACAGGGGAGGATCTTCATGGCGGGAGGGCTCGAGAGGGGTCGGAAGGGCCCTCCGGGAGGGGTCGCAAAAAGATAAAGAAAACGAAGTCGCGGCTTATGTGACTGCCCCCCAAGAGGGCTCGGAGGGCTCGGAGGGCTCGGGAGGGCTGGAGGGCTAGAGGGCTCCATTAGGGCTCGGAGGGGTCGATCCTCTGAGCCCTCCGACCCCTCCGACCCCTCCGACCCCTCCGACCCCTCCGACCCCTCCGAGCCCCCCGAGTTCCCCGACCCCGGCTCGGAAGCTCGCCTCCAACCCCTCCGAGCACTCCATCCGAGGGCTTGAAGGGCTCGGAGGGCTCGGAGGGCTCGAGCTTCCGAGCCCTCCAGACCCCTCCGAGCCCTACTGGAGCCCTCCGAGCCCTCCGAGCCCTCCGAGCCCTCCGAGCCCTCCGAGCCCTCCGAGCCCTCCGAGCCCCCCGAGCCCGGCTCGGCGGCTCGCCCCTCCGAGCCCTCCGGGCACTCCATCCCTTGTGAGCCCTCCAGAGCCCTCACGAGCCCACCAGCGCCACCCTCGTGCCTCCTCCTCTGCCCTCCGAGCCCTCCGACCCTCCGAGCTCTCCACCTCTCCCAAGCCCTCATGAGCCCTCCTACGCCTCGCTTTTGGCCAGCCCTCCCAGCCCCCACCCCTCCTGGGCCCTGCCGCCTGACACCTCTATCGGTGGAGGGCTTTAGGTCACGGTCCGCACTCCCGCCCTCCCGACCCCTCCACACCCCTACAGCGGCACCCCTACCCCTCCCGCCGTTTTAGGGCCTGCCCACCCGCACTCTGAGTTCACCGCCAGTTATCTGCGCCTCCGTTCGTCGCTCTCGTGCTTGATCGTCAGGCCGTGCTCTCACGTCCGCCGGAGCTACCTCGGCTATTGGCACCATTTCACAAGTTTGACCTGAGCCCTGGTCTGACAGCCTGACAGCAAACCCCGGAGCCCGGACAGCGCCTGACAGTGCCCGACAGCCTGACAGCGCTGACAGCACTTTCTCTGACAGTCTGACAGCACGTGTCTGACAGCCTGACAGCAGAGTCTGACAGGCGAGGGGTCCCGTCGCTGTCAGGCCCTAACGTGACAGCCTGACAGTTGCCTGACAGCCCGACAGCACACAGTGGCCTGACAGCAGCGCTGACAGCCCGACAGCAGCACAGACCGTACACAGACCCCGTAGAGCCTCTTTCTTGTGCCCCATGAAGGTATAACAAAATTACATGCAAAGACATGTGAGTGTGGTCCATGTAGTCATGGGATGGTCATGGGTCTCTCAACCCTCCCGCCCGCCACCTCTGCGGACCCCTCTCTAGCACCGGCGGCTGTGCTACTAGCTACCAGCTAGCCTTCTGGTGCCCTACAGTCATATGCCTACGGCGTCTGGGTGGGGGTGGCCGCCGCCATCTGTGCCGCCGCCGCCGCCGCCGCCTGCGCCGCCATCTGCGCTCCCCAGGCGGCCGCCCCTGCCGGCGTGATCACGCCGTAGGAGGGGGGCAGCTGCGTAGCCGCCGGCGTCATCGGCGTCAGCGCCCCCGCCGCCGCCCGGCCAGCGGCCACGGCGGCGTCGACCGCCGCGTTGGTCGCAATCTTCTGCGCCTTGTGCTGCCCCCGCACCTTGGTCTGCGTGGTGCGCTGTGAGCGGGCGCTGCCGAGCCACTTGTGCGCGATCGACACGACCTGCGACCGCCGCGAGAGGAGGGTGAGTGCCCCGCGTGCGGGTATTGATGGACACACGGCGAGGAGAACGCACGTTTGCAGCTCGGCCAGCGTCGGCTTCTCCGCTTCCACCGGCAGGTCGGCGAGCCACGCGCGGAGGTGCGACTCGCCGGCAGTGTGGCGCAGCATGTTGGAGCAGTTCGAGCCGATCGCGCCAGTCTCCCCGTAGAGCGCGCCCTTCTTCTTCGTTCTTGCCACACAAGGAGCATTGGTAGTAGCCGAAGTGGCGGTCGAGCTTCTTCACCCCCTGCGAGAGGGAAGCCAGTGGGTGTGGGCGGGAGGGTGGTGAAGAGGAGTGTGGCGCCCACGCACCTTCTCCTGGCAGGCTGGTCATGACGCAGTTATAGGGTGTTGTGTGCCGTCGGAGTGACTCTCCTGTGTGTCAGTGATAGTCAGGGCCGTCCATCAGAGCTCCAGTAAGCTCGGAGACACCCCATTAGCGCGGCTCGACCTCTTTGAGTCACTGCCTTCCCGGCGGGTTGGCCGTGTAGAGCCTCTACAACCAACTCTACAGCAAAATCGCGCTCTACAGTGCTCTACAAGGGAGGCGCTTCGTCCCGCGCCGGATGTAGAGCTCTACAGCTCTACAGCGCTCCACAGCTCTACAGCTCTACAGCGCTCTACACTCTATCTACATCCTCTACACGCTCCCTCAGTTGGCAAGTTGAACTTCGCTTGGGGCAGCATTCTGTGGCTCGCCGCAGTGACGGTTTGGGTGGGTTCGATTTCTGGGCAACTTGTTGGCGGCAGCAGCGGAAGGATCAATTGCTGTACCGTATACAACGAGGGACCGATTCTGTGGAGGGCCGCGGGTATCGATTAGGCCGCGTGAGGGCCGGATCTATTGCTGTTAACCGCATCTTAAATCTTAAAATAGAGACCCGACCCGAGGCATGCCTCTCGAGGCGCGTGTCACAAGTGGGTGCCGCTGGGCCGCTCCCACAGCACCTAGCACCTAAGGCTTGCGATAACCGCCGAATCCCAGAAGTATAGAGGTTGAGGGCCCACGCGCCACGGGACTGCCCAGAGGTAAACGTGTGAGGGCCGCAAGGGCAGCACCAGGGAAATGCGGTTTTGGTCCGCCCGTCTGGTCTTGTGACTTGTCGGGCGGAGCGGGCAACGCCGTCGGGCGCGGCCTCCCGTAGCGGGCGGCGTGGATATCCTCTGAAGCACGAAGCGGCTCCAGAGGCCTTTTCCGTCTGTCGATGGCCCTTCCAGCGTGAGGAAGGAGGGGGGGAAGGGGCGGTGGGACAAAAAAAGCCCATTCCAGCGTGAGGAAGGGGGGGGGGGGGGGGGGAAAGGGCGGTGGGACAAAACAGCTCTTTCCCCACTGGGACTCGAACCCAGGTCGTTCGGGTGAAGGCCGAATATCCTGACCAACTAGACTATAGGGAATCGAACCGGCAACCACGCAGCTGGCGGGAAGCGCGTGAGCACATCTCACCGTGGTGCACTTGCCAAGCTGGCCGTGGCGCAAACGGTTGTTAATATATGTAAAAAGGGGGTATATAAATATGAAGGATGAGTGGGTGGTGTGTTTGTGGAAGGGTAAGGTTTTGTGTTTGTGTTGGTAGGAGGTGTTTGTGATGGTTGGTGAGTGTTTTTATGTTTGTGGAGGGGTAAGGTTTGAGGGTGGTGGGTGGTGTGTTTGTGGAGGGGTAAGGTTTGAGGGTGGGTGGGTGGGTGTGGGAGGGGGGGGGGGGTAAATGTTTTTTGGAAGAGGAGTTCTATGTTTTTTTGTAGCGTGTACTCGCCGAGGATATCGCGCCCTTTCCAGCTGGTATGTCGGCTGTCGGACTCTTCGGCTCGCGGCCGCCGTGCTGCTGATCCTGAGCGATCCTGCGCTCGCACTCGCCCAGAGCACGCGTGCTCTGCGCCCCGTGGCCGCGTCGGCTGCCGCCGAGGCTGCCGCCGAGGCTACCTCGTCTCGTGTCCTGTCTTTTGTGTCTGTGTCGCGTGACGAGTCTAGTGTGCCTAGCGTGTCTAGCGTGTTTTCTACCCGCTGCACAGGTCCGGCGCCGACTACCTCGACCGTCCCACCCACCTGCTGGCACCGTGCAGAATGGCTCTGTGTCGGACCAAAGGCAGCCACAAGGCAGCCTGTCCCTCACAGTGTCCACAACGCCGGTGGGGTCCCCTCGGGGATGAGGGGGCGGGGGCGGCACAACCGTCTTACCCATTGCCCTCGACGACTGGCAGAGCCGGAGCCAACCGCACCAACCACAGCCCGACCAGCAGCCAGGAAACTACTCCGCTGGGCGGGGGCCTGGTTGGGCTGTGCGAGGTGCGCGGCCCTCTCGGAGCCACAAATTTTTATTAACCAACAAGAAATCACGACTCTCTCTCCAGTTTGGACGCTCTGGGGACGCGCAGCAAACCAGTTCGATGGAAAGGGGGCTACTGGGGCGGCCAATTCACACCTCGCGGGACTACTTATGTTCGTAAACGTAGTTGTGGCCCCCCGCTACGTCGCACGACTGCGACTGGGTAGCGGGGGGCTATTAGTAATGGTATTGTTAATTAAGGAGAAAAAATTACATGTATTTTGGGGGTAAAATTACTTTTAAAACGATAATAAAAAGAAATCTAGTGCGCTTTTTTCGGGCAAATTGCCGGGCAAGGGAACGGTTTCGTGCTCCCCAGACCGGTCAGGACCGGTCTCGAGGTGCGCTGGACCGGTCCAGCTACTCAAATCGGTTCAGCGCCCTCCATGGCGCCCCAGAGGGCTGAGGTGTACTGCACATTCTGTCCGACGGAACGCCCGGGCCAAGACGTCAAAGAGGCAGTTGGGGGAAAGACAGCGGCTAGCATCTACCGGCCCTATTGCTCGTCGTGCAAAACAGTCGCATTTGGTCAGAAGGAACCCCCCAAACGCGGCGTGGGCTTCGCCTGCCGCACCCATCTGGTCGACTACCTCACCCTCCCTTGCGCAGGCCGGTCGGCGGCCGTCTGACGTGTCGTTGGTGCCCGCCGGCGGTCAGGGGCCGCTGCGCTTGAATCTCACCGACACCGATCGGCAGCGGCGTGCAGGGCGCGCTGGTGGCCCATCCCGCCGCCGTCACCGGTTATTATTATTGGTTTTGAAGTAATTTGAAGTAAGAATGGTTTATTTTATGATTGTGTAAGATATAAAGGGTGTTTTTGTGGGGTAAGGGTAAGGTGGTGTATATGGGTGGGGTGAGGGGGAGATTTTCTTGTGAGGGGGTGAGGGGAAATGGGGTGGGAGATGAGGGGGGTGTATGGTGTATTGATTGGGGAATGGTATTGCTAATTAAGGAGAAAAAATTATGTATTTTCTTGGGAAAATTGCTTTAAAAACGAGATAATAAAAAAGAAATCTATATATTGCTTGCTCGTTAACCATTCTTTCTTTCTTTCCTTCGTCACCAGCGCCACCAGGCTCCCCGACGCGCGCGCCCCGCGGCCCTCCTTCCACCACCATGACCGCCCGCTCCCTTTGGTACGTCGGCGGCGACGCCTGCGAGCTTCGGGACTGCAGTGTACCTGTCGTCGGGCCGGGCGAGGTGCTAGTCGTGGCGACGCACGGCGCCGTGTCGCGAGGCACCGAGTCGCTCGTGCTGCGCGGCGGCGTGCCTCCCTCCGAGCACACGCGGATGCGATGCCCATTCATGGAGGGCGATTTCAACTACCCGTGCAAGTATGGATACTGCAGCGTCGGCTTCGTCGCCGAGGCCGGCAAGGGCGCCGAGCCGCTCCTCGGCCGGCATGTCTTTTGCCTCTTCCCGCACCAGGACCGCTACGTGGTCCGGATGGAGGCGGTGCACGCGCTGCCGGAGGGGACGCCTCCGTCGCGGGCTGTCCTCACGCCCAACCTCGAGACCGCCGTCAACATCGTCTGGGACTCGAAGCTCAGCGTGGGTGACCGGCTCGCCGTGGTCGGCGCAGGAGTCGTCGGCTGCCTCGTGGCCTACGTCGCGTCGCGGGTCGCAGATGTGTCGGTGCTGCTGGTGGACGTCGACGCGTCCCGCTCCGCCCTCGCCGAGCGCCTCGGAGTCCGATTCAGGCGCCCACGCACTCTCCTAGAGACTGCGCCACCGCCCACACGGCTCCAGCCTGCACCTCGCGTGCAGGGCTCGCCGAGATACAGCCGAGA